CTCCTCCGGGAGGGGTCCTGATGGGCCCCAGTAGGTAAATCAGACCCAGGCCTGCCGGATGGGGGTCCCCAGGCTCAGGGAATCCCATCGAACCCTCCCTTGCAGATACCCCAGGCTAAGACCTTAGGGAATTTACTGCATCCATTTCCCAGTGGGGAAACTGAGGCTTGAAGCTATCTGAGGGCTATTCCCTGCCTTTCTCCAGGATAATGAAATCATGGACAGAAGGACCTGTTTTCTGCATTGGTGGGGCTGCCTCCCCAGACACCACTAAGGCAGAGAGTCCCTGCTGACTCAAACTTGCTGTGTGACTTCAGCAAATCCCTGACCCTCTCTGAGCCTCCCATTTCTCCCCAGAAAAATGCTGAACTCAGCCCAGTGAGGGGAACTCGAGAGTCAGACTGGGGTTGGCATCCCAGTTCCCTTTGGTGATCTTGGCCAAACGACTTTGCTTTTCTGTGCCTCAGTTTCCCCAAGTGAACCAGAGGAGCTGCTTTTGGACTTTGAGCCCTCCCTGCCCCATTCCCTGCCGTGGGGGTGGGAACCCCTAGTCTCTCCTCACTCAAGCGAATGAATGGACCATTTTTGGCTGCGCTGCTGGGATCCCAGAGCTGCTAATTCCCTGGAGAAACAGGAGGCTCTTTCATGCCCAGGCGCCAGTGGGGTGAGGAGGCGGGAAGAGGGTATGGAGCTGGCCTCATACTCGTGGGCAAGGAGGCCGCATGCCAAAGCCAGGAGTGGTGTGGAGAGCCCTGGAGCCATGCATATCCTCACTGGGGGTCCTTGGCTAAATTGATGTGTCCTTGGCTATAAAATGGGAATGACAGGGACCAGCCATGGAAAGTTTAAGGAGCCAGCGGGTGGAGACGAAACGTGGCTTCAAGTCAGATACACAGTGGACTAGTGCACATCAGCTACTGTTGCTACGTGTCAACCTGAAGAACCCACGGAGTTCTCCAACAGTTAATAGAATTCCCCCCATTTCACAGATGAGAAAGCTGAGGCTCACAGAGGTCAAGGTGCTTTTCTAAGGTCACACAGCCAATGAGTGGTCCAGCCAGGATTTGAACCAGAACTGAGCTCTCCTGGGTCCCTGCTCTTCCTAACTTCCTCCACGGGGCGATATTGAGGCTAGGGTTTCCTGTCACCTCCAGCCCCAGCCCTGAGACCAGCGAAGTTGGGTCTGGATGGCACCAGACTATCTAAATGTGGAAGGCCCTGGCAGGCAGGGTCTGAAGGGACAGGCCTTCTGCTGGTGACCCACTTTCGCCGCCAGCTCCCCCCGCCCCCCTCCGCCTGGGGTGGGTTTTGGCAGAGGCCAGTGGCTGCTCTGTCTTGGAACCCTCCATTCATGCAGAAAGGATGGTGTCCTGCCCTTTCACCAACACCTTCCCGACTTCTCCCGGCCCAGCAGGAAGTGGCTCCACATATTTTATTCAAATTCATGATCTTTCACCCAATTCGGTCTTTGCTTATGCTAAGCACTCTCCCCACTCCAGATTTTCTCACCCTTGTGAATTCCTGGCCCCCTCACCCGCTATTAAGGTGCAGTTCCAATATCCCCTCTCCCAGGAAGCCCGCCCTCCAGGTAGAGCTCCTGCTCCTCTAGCCCTGTCTCTCCCTCGTGGCTAGGAGTGTCTATGTCTATCTCTGTCTTGCCCAGATCGAGGGCTCCTCTGGCACAGGGCTGGAGCTCAGGCCTCTTGCTGTCCCCAGCATTATCCAGCACAGGGCTGGGCATGAGAGTGACAGCAAAGGTTGCAGGAGCTGTCTATTGAATCAGTCAACCAAATCTGCAGCCTGGTATCTGAGGCTTTGTGTAATCTGGCTTGGAAAACTCCTGTTAATGCTTCAAAACCCACCTTGCAGGCTGAGCGTTGTGGCTCACCCCTGTAATCCCAGCACTTTGGGAGACCGAGGCCGGCAGATCACGAGGTCAGGAGTTCGAGACCAGCCTGGCCAACATAGTGAAACCCCGTCTGTACTAAAAAATACAAAAATTAGCCGGATGTGGTGACACGTGCCTGTAGTCCAGCTACTCGGGAAGCTGTTAAAACGCGTGCTCTGAATGAAGAGACCCCCAAAACAGGCTTTGTGTGAGCAACATGGCTGTTTATTCCCCAGGTGCAGGCAGGCTGAGTTGGAAAAGTGAGTCAGAGAAGGGCAAAGGAATAGGAGTTGGTTTTATAGGTTTGGGGTCAGCAGTAGGAAGTTAGTTTAGGGTGTTTTTTTGCAAGCTGGGAGGGGGCCATGGGTTTGCAAGCTGAGAGAGGGTCATAGGATCTGGAGTCACGAGGTTGACCAAGGTCCCTTACGGTTATAAAGTCCAATGTCCTTGTCAATTAAGCCCGAATAAGAAACAAGAGGGGAATGTGTCAGGTTAGTTAGGCGCCGCAGGGGTTGATGGCCCCTCCACTTTCCAGTTACTTCAGGTTTTCTAATTCCTGAAGTCCCTCCAGAGGTGTGTGTGTGCATCACAGGGGACACATGCCGTCCATGGCACGGTCAGACCTTACAAGGCTGAGGCAGGAGAATCGCTTGAACCCAGGAGGTGGAGGTTGTGGTGAGCTGAGATCGCCCCACTGCACTCCAGCCTGGGGAACAGAGCGAGACTCCGTCCCCAAAACCAAGCAAACAAACACCCATCTCGTGTGCTCCCTCCTCCAAGAAGCCTTCCTTGATGTCCCAGCAGCATTTTCTGGGAAAGACAAACTTGGAGGCCAGGGCTCCTCTGTCCCAACAAGAACACAGGGGTTGATGAGGACTTCCGATACTCCCAACATGGAGGCCCTTTCCACAACTCTGCCTTTGGCCTCCGGGAGGCAGTGAAGTTCAGGGATTCTCAGGCTGCATTTGGCAGTTAGGGAATAGATGCAGCTGACTTCTCGGAGTGGGAAGGACATCGTCATAGGAAGTGTCTCTGGCCAGGCGCGGTGACTCACGCCTGTAATCCCAGCACTTTGGGAGGCTGAGGTGGGCTGATGGCTGGAGTTCGAGACCAGTCTGGGCAACATGGCGAAACCTCATGTTTACCAAAAAAAGAAAAAAAAAAAAAAATAGCCGGCGGTGGTGGCGCGCACTTCCCAATTCCAACTATTCGGGATGCTGAGGTAGGAGGATTGCTGGAGCCTGGGAAGCAGAGGTCGCAGTGAACCGAGATCGCACCACTGTATTCCAGCCTGGGCGACAGAGTGACACCCTGTCTCAAAAAAAATAAAAAAAGAAGTCTCTCTCATTCAAAAATCAGTCAAAATCAGTGCTCTACACCTTCAGACGCCCAGGGACAGCGCCCCGCGCGCAGCCAGCCTTTTCCCTACAGCTTCAAGGGAACCAAGGGAAATTCAATCATTGAACCCGGGCCCTTTAAGACGCGGTGATGAAGGAGCGGGGTCGAATCAAGCCCCGCCCCAAGAGCAACGCAGTCGGGGCCTCAATTACAATACGCATGCGTCAAGCCCACGCGGTTCCGGGTCCCAAGAGTTGGCTTCAAGGGCTGTTCGCAGAGAAAGAGGCTCGCACAAAAAGCCACCGCCCCCCAAAACCGTGGGAAATCTATTTCCTGTGAAAGGCCTGACCTCCGGTCGTTGGCGGTTTCTCTGATCCACTCTCTCAAATTTTCCGGCAGGGTATTGATTGAGGCGACATTTAGGACTGGGGCTGGCGAGGGAGTGGCGGTTCTGGTCCTAAGTTATTGGTGAGGACGTGCAGGCCAAGGCGCGGCCAAGATCGCGCCCCCTGTGGCTTGAGGAGGAGCCGAGATTTGAACCAAGGCTGTGCCAAATCCAAGCCCTGCGAGGTCTTGTGGAAGCGACATGACCCACTCTTTGGTTTGTGCAGAGACAGTGAGCAGGTAAGAATCTGTGGGGACAGACCGTGGTGAGGCCCTAAGCCTGGGGTCGAACCCTCTGCGACGCTGAGAGCTGGGTTCAGCCTCTTGTTTTCGCCCTGATCCTGGTGCCTCCAGGGTGAGTTCGGTGCTGAATCGCAACACCCGGCAGTTTGGAAAAAAACATCTTTTCGACCAGAACGAGGAGACATGTTGGAACTCGGACCAGGTGAGGCGCCTCCCTCGACCCTCGGTGGTCTCTGGGGTGACTCAGATTCAGGGGTCCGGGATGCCTTGAGAATGTCTGGGGGCCCTCATGGGTGGCCAGGAAAGGAACATGTGCCGAATTTCCCTCTCCTCCGGCACTGCCCCGTCCAAAGACTCTATGAATGAGACAGGCATAGCAGGGCTCTGTGCCTGCAGTGAGCTTGTGCCTCAGTTTCCCTGTCTGCTTCCAGGGCCCCTCCCAGTGGGTGACACTGGAGTTTCCCCAGCTCATCCGTGTCTCCCAGCTGCAGATCCAGTTTCAGGGTGGCTTCTCCAGTCGCCGGGGCTGCCTGGAAGGTACTAGGAGGCTCTGGGTGGTGGGGCTTCCAGGGGTCACCCCAGACACTTAGTGCCTGTCTCTGCTGCAGGTTCACAGGGCAGTCAGGCCCTTCGCAAGATTGTAGATTTCTACCCTGAGGACAACAACTCGCTTCAGATATCCTGCTCCCGCTTCTGGGGTGGGGTGGTCTGTGCCTCTGGAAGCTTGGGACTCACCCAAACCTGAATGGGAACCCCGATGTATGACCCTGAACATGTGACTCGAGGCCTCCATCACTTTATCTGTACAATGGGGCTGATGACCACCTGTTCTGTGACAGAGGCTTAGAGGGGCCTGCAGCTTCTTCAGGTTACCCACCACATCGGTGGAGTCCGAGCTGGGTCTGGAGGGGTGGGGGCCTGTGGGTGGGAAACCAGAAATCGCCTGTTGCCTTTGACTGCCCACGCTCACACCTTCCCCATACCAGTTGCTGAGGTGGACCGGCTGAAGGTGACATTTGAGGATGCCACTGACTTTTTTGGCCGTGTGGTCATCTACCACCTGCGGGTGCTCGGGGAGAAGGTTTGACACCTCCGGGGGCTGCCTCCTCCAGGAAGTCCTCCAGGAAGCACAGCAAAGTCCCTCAAGTTCTGCACAGAAGGTTTATTGGTTCCTCTTAGGAAGGGTCCCCTCCCACCGCCTGTCCAGGAGCTGCCATTGAAGCCAGTTCTGGGTTTTCCCAGCTCTGGCCAACCGTTTCGTTCCCTGAGTGTCTGAGTCCCCCGCGGGTGGCCTTCACTCAGGGTCAGCAGGCACCAGGTTGCTCTGGAAGAGCTTGAGGATGTGGTTCTCGATCACCTGTTGCACTGAGATGGGGCAGGGAAAAGGTGGGCTGTGACCTTGAATTGGGAGGGGTGCGGAGGTGTGGGCCAACCTGCACTCTCCCCTTAGGGGACAAACAGGGAGGCCAGCATTACAAAGCAAAGCTGGGAGGAAGGAGGCCCCATCCCAGGAACCTCACCTTCCCCTAAGTTTGTAAAAACGCACTTTTGTGGCTTTTCAGAACTACTATTATAAAAATATTTTCTACCAAGCAAAATGTGTGAATTGTAACTTTTATGAAAAGGTGAGCCTGGGCATGGCGGCTCACACCTGTAATCCCAGCACTTTGGGAGGCCGATGGGGGAGAACTGCTTGAGCTCAGGAATTTGAGGCCAGCTTGGGCAACATAGCAAAACCCTGTCTCTACCAAAAAAAAATAATAATAATAAAAATAAAAATTAGGCTGGGCTCAGTGGCTCATGCCTGTAATCCCAGCACTTTGGGAGGCCAAGGTGGGTAGATCACTTGAAGTCAGGAAAGACCAGCCTGGCCAACATGGTGAAACCCTGTCTTTACTAAAACTACAAACATGAGCTGGGTGTGGTGGTAGGTGCCTGTAATCTGAATGGGAGGCTGAGGCAGGAGAATTGTTTGCCTGGGAGACAGAGGTTGCAGTGAGCTGAGTTCATGCCACTGCACTGCAGCCTGCGTGACAGAGCTAGACTCTGTCTCAAAAAATAAATAAAATAAAAAGATTTTAAAAATTATCTAGGTAGAGTGGTGCGTGCCTATAGTCCCAGCTACTCAGGAGGCTGAGGCAGAAGGATCGCTTGAGCCAGGAGTTTGAGGCCAGCCTGGGCAACATAGCAAGACCCCGTCTCTTCCAGAACAGCAACAACAAAAAATTAGCCAGGCATGCATGGTGGTGCGCGCCTGTATGTAATCCCAGATACTCGGGAGGCTGAGGCAGGAGAATCCCTTGAACCCGGGAGGCAGAGGTTGTGGTGAGCCAAGATCGTGCCACTGCACTCCAGCCTGGGCAACAGAGCAAGACACTGTCTCAAAGAAAAAAAAGAGCCAGGCATGGTAGTGAATGCCTGTGGTCCCAGCTACCCGGGAGGCTGTAGTGGGAGGATCACTTGAGCCTGGGAGGTCAAGGCTGCAGTGGGCTGTGACTGCACCACCTCATTCCAGCCTGCGCGACAGCAAAAACAAAAAACAAAAACAAACCCCACGCAAAACAATAGGAGGCACGAGGAGCGACTTCAAACAGTAAAACTCCAAAGGAAGGAGGGGACCCTTCTGAAGCCCTTTATCGCCACCATGACCCCAGGGGGTCAGTTCAGTTGGGATTTCCCGATTTTATGGATGGGAAAGTTGAGTCCTGTTGTGACAGAGGCAATGGAGTCACACTGGGTCTGCCTATGGCCCCTGTGCAAACCCAATGCCCGTCATGGAGAGGGGCGGCCTCTGCGGCCCTGTGCACTGTGCCCTGGCCGCCTGCCCCTTGGTGTCCTCACGGCCAGGCCTCCGCAGGGGCCTCCTCCCACCTGGATGCCATCCTCCCTCCCTTCAGGTCCCCCAGAATCCTTCCCTGACCCCCCATTCCCAAGGCTGGACCCATCTCACTTCTTGGGGTCTCAAGCTTAGACACCTTCCTCCAGGAAGCCCTCCCTGACTTCTGTTGGGCACTTTGGGGCTCTTTGATGAGGCCCCTCTTTGGGCCTCTCTGTGCCTGTGTGTCCCCCATGATGGCCCCAGCCACTGACGCCCCCACTGTCCTCTCTACCCCAGCACACGTGGAGCCCCAAGAGCCAGGACTGGGATGTGCCCAGGCGGGACACACTGCAGTGCTCGACACCCGCTAATGCGAACACTCTCCCGGCTGGCGTCTGACCACTGGGGGGGTGTCCCGTGTACCCCTTTATGGTCATCCTGCCTATGGGAGGGACCCCATCGCTCCTCCGTGTGTCTCAGGCCGACCTTTCCGGTATCCCAGGGCCACAGCAAGGTCCATCGGGGTGTAGCCAGAGTCGGCTTCGGTAGTGAGGTCAGCACCTCGGGCTGCAAGGCAGAGGGGAGGGCGCTGGAGGGTGGGGCCTAGGAATCCAGGATGACGACTGGGGACCTGGAAGATTGCGTGGCACCCCTCATTCGCCACAGTGCAGCCGTGGGTCTGCCCATGTGGCCTTTGACAAGAATCCAACCTCTGCTATCTCGGTCTCCACTGAAGAACGTGGCTGTAAGAGTCTCTGAGCCGTGGAGGGTGGAGGTGCTCAGCCTCTTGGCCAGGTCTTAGACCCACACCCCGAATCTTGGGCGGTCCTCCCACCTCCTCCCCTCTGATCCACCCTCCAAGAAGAGCAGGCAGTGACCACCCATCTCAAGAACATTCCAGCAACACCTGGGTGTCTCCCTGCCCTCAGGATTCCCACAGGGCCCGCTGGAGCGCTGGGACCCCAGGGCCAGTCCTGACTCCCACTCACCCAGCAAGGCCTCAACACATTTCACGTGGTTCCCACGCACGGCGTACAGCAGTGGCGTCCCTCCATTCTGTCGTGGGTAGGAGCAGGAGAAACCAAAATTTACCTCTTCCTGATTCTCACAATGCCTTGTACTCTCTCTGGCCTCCAATTTAATATAGTTCCTCCTCCTGCTCATCACTGGGCCCATCTCACTTCTTGGGGTCTCAAGCTTAGACACCTTCCTCCAGGAAGCCCTCTTTGACTTCCCTTGGCCACACTGGGCTCCTGAAGCTGCCTGTGCATCTGCCGTCACAGCGCACTTCACTGCATCTGAGCTGCCTGCGTCCATGCCTGCCTTCCCCGCACCGGGAGCTCTGTGAGGCCAGGAATGGGGCCGTCTCGTATTCTCGGCATGCAGCGCAGGCCTGCACCTTTCAGGTGATCTGTGAACGTTTGAGCCAGGAATGGAGGCCAGGAGGCTGAGAGGCGCCCGGGGCTGGCAGTCCCTCACCCAATCGTAGATGTTGATGTCCACGTCCCTCTCCAGCAGCAGTCCCACGATGTCTGTGTAACCGCCCGTGCTGGCCAGCGACAGGGCGCTCTCTCGCTCTTTGGCCAAAATGTGGGGGTCAGCACCCTGCAGGGATGGGGGCAGTGGTGGGATGGGCTGGGACATAACCAGGAATCCTGGGGTATCCATGACAGCTACATCTTTTTTTTTTTTTTTTGAGATGGAGTCTTGTTCTGTCGCCCAGGATGGAGTGCAGTGGCACAATCTCGGCTCACCGCAACCTCTGCCTCCTGGGT